AATACTGACACAAGGGGGTGATCCTTTTTCCAACTCAGTGATTCTGGGTTGTTATTTTTATATTTTTTTCTGACAGGTTGGTGTTATAGCTTTCACTTGAATGTTATAAGTTTAATGAGTAAATACAGCTGGATAAAACAAAAACCGTGTCCGTCTTCATTTCAGTCTGCAAAGCAACAAAATGTGATTATTTTAAAATGGTGTGATTCTTTTCTATACCCACTGTATATGTAATAATATATATGTAAGTCTCATCAAGTTTGTTCATTTTGACTTTGCTTCAAAAATATAGATAACACTGAAGTAGTAAAAACATGTTTTTGTTAGTAATACATTTTGATTGGGAATTATTTAATAACAGCAGTCACCTTCACTTTAGACCGTTAGTCAACAAATCCTTGGTAAACACTAAATAAGTATAAATGATGGGGGCTGACACGAATGTTCTCCTTTCACTTAACCACACTGAATGGACCCTGAAATGCTCAATCGCAGATTATTTCAAGCTGATTTTAATTCACATGTTTGAGGGGGTGAGTTAACTCTGTAATGAATTCACATCCACTTGGCCATTCAGACTGATTTTCAAACTGGTTGAGAATCAGATGATAATTTTCATAGAAATTGTTTGAGGAGCCAAAGCTTAAAACGATTTTTGCTAATAATGTATATGCATTGCACAAATAAATGAAACTGATTGGCCTAAAACAGCAGAGTGGTGTTCGTATCATTTTGCAGGATCTCAGACCGTGGCGGTGGCATTCCTCACAGCATTCTGGACCAGGTGATGGATTACCACTTCAGCACAGCTGAACAGAGCGCACAGGATCCCCGCATGAGCAACCTTTTCAACAACATAACCAACAGCGGCCCCCAGTCCGGACCCATGCATGGGTAAGAAGAGCTAGACCTATAGAAAAATGTGCACAAGCTCAAATTAAAAGCTGCTTCAAACGATTAGTGCAAAGGTTGGGTTTTTATGTAAATTATTGAGGGACTGCTTGGGATCACGTCTCTTTTTTTTCCAATTATAACATGCTTTTCACCTCTTCAGAAGTAAATATTTATGTCTTGTCCACATGCAGCAGCTGACTTTGCAAGATTCTGTGCATTCTTGCAAGATCAGTATAGTAGCTAAAGTGGTCTGCTCTACTTGATCCAGATTGAACCAGTTTGATCTGGATCTGTAAGTCTAAAGTGTCAAGCCGGCACTCCTCACCATGAGCGGTCTCAATTCACAATTACAGAAGACCAGATGGCAACTGGCAGTCCTTTTCTAATGAAAAGAATTAGTTTTCCTGCTTGGAGTTGTTTATTAAGTTATTTGGCACAGTTGAAGGTTTATTTGAGGATTGTGATACATTAGGATGCGCTGTTGTGCCGTTTAAGGGTATTGAAGAGCATCTCAGTGATGCCACTTGTTTTCTCCTCCAGGTTTGGCTTTGGTCTGCCTACGTCCCGAGCGTACGCTGAATACTTGGGAGGTTCCTTGGCCATCCAGTCGATGCAGGGCATCGGCACAGACGTCTACCTGCGTCTTCGGCACATTGATGGCAAAGGAGAGAGCTTCAGAGTTTGATGTCGTGGTCTATTTGTAGAGTTGTGGGTCAGTCATCATGTTGAAGATTTCAAGGCTCGAAGAGGAACCAAAGCCAGGATGTTAAACAGTTGTCCTTTCACTCATATTGCCTGTCACTGCATCAGTATCACTGCGTTTTCTGCAGATTATGGGTGTCATGCTTGGCATTCGCACTGCGTTGTGTTTGTGTAGTGCACTGTGATTTCTGTCAAACTCTCAGCCTTAAGATTGCAAAGTGATTTCGTGATTAAAATCCAGCGTGTTACTGTCCATCGTCACCAGTGGGACGAGTCCTTACACTCCAGACGCTTGCAGAAGATGCTCTCCAGACAGCCATATCCTGCTTTTCTTTGGAGATGCAGTGTTCACTCCAACGGTGAATGCAGAAATCTTCTATGAACTCTGAATAGAGTTCGACTGCCTTACGAAAAAGACTCATTCTGAAAATGTTGTCAGTGTCCAGATGTCAGTAGAAATCACAGTTTTGACATTTCACATTAACCATATGCGTTTAAGAGTTTGTTGTAGATTTCATGCTTGAAATGGTTTGCTAAAAAAGGCTCTTGGGGTTATAGCACAGCGCTAAAATATAAATGATAGTTTTGTTTTGTTTTGTTTTCTCCAGCAAACAATGTTATAGAGATGTTCAAATTTGAATGGATGTTTTTACACTCTGCCCACCTGCACATTTGGTCTCTTGATCGATTTTGTTCAGTTCATTTTCTAAAAGGATTCCAACATGTTTGAGACTGAGAGACCATGAGATTTGTTTACCTGAATTTGAAATTTTCCCCAAATGACAAAAGTTCTATTGAGTTTCTAATTGAACTGCTGGAGGTCACAATACATAAAGTAATCTGTAACATTCTGTCTTGTAATGTTGTGCCTGTGTTTTCTTTTCTCTCCTTTTGAAATGACTTTCAAGAAAAGGAGCCTCCTTGTGTTTTCTGCTCATTATCTTTTCTCAAGAGCTGCAGATTTGTTGCCCCCTACTGGTGGAAGCTGAGTATTAACTTTGACTTTAAACAATATGGACATACTGATGAGTTAGTGTAATGAATGATGTACAGTAGGTTTTGGATCATTTAGAATGACTAACATGCACATATTAACATTTTCCTTTGTTTATATAAAAGGCCAAATTGTGGCATGACGCACTCAAAATGATATCAAGGATGGGATCTTTTTGTTTTTTTCTTTTTGATGTTCCGTTTGCATTACATAGATGCCAAATACACATAGCTTTTTGGGCATTATAAAATTTTGGATGAGAACATTTGTGTTTTTTTCTTGATTTCCTTCCTTTCTCTGTTGGTTTTAATTTAATATGCTGTTCATATTGTGACATTTTGCCAGTATTTTTTTTTAGCAGTAGGCTATAAATAGGAGTTAGGTGGCAGATATTTATACTTAAGTACTGTGGTACATTATAAAACAGTATGCAGTGACATATTGAGTGTAAATTGTCATATTTATTAATATTATTAAATGGATGCCGCCTTATTGGGACAATGAAGCCCTCCCTGCACCAATCGCTAACCATACCAATAACACTGAATTATTATTCACTTATTTTTATTGAAAATAAATGCCTTTACGATCTGATATGTGATGGGAAAAAGAGACGAACGAGTTTGGCAAAAGGCGGATTCGAAATTGGAATTCGAACTCGAATTTTGTTTGCATAATTGAAATATCTTTATTTACATATTTTATGTTATTTATATATGATATTACAGCAATATTATTATTATTATTTAATATCTTTGAAACAATCTGTAGTACATAATAGAATCAAGTCAAATGACGTCACCTTTATCGCTATAGCGCTTTATACAGTACAGATTCATTGCATACTGCAATATAGTAGGAGTTGTATGGTAGTATGCCATTCTAAACAGCTTCTGTACTGATTTCAGAGTGTATTTAGCAGATTCTGGCAAATATAGTAGGTATTCCATGCATATAGAAAGTTTGCATACTATGTACAGTATACATACTGGATACTGCAGAAATAGTAAGAGTATTGCATTTCGAACAAAGCATCTGTGAACAGCAAAAGGAGGAGTAAGGGGGCCGGCCCACTATTAAACTGGCCAATCAGAGGACGCGTTCTGCCTGTCACTCATTTTGCGTATTGGGTTGATTGACATGCCTTTGGGGGAAAACCCCGACTTTATAGAATTAATTTAAAGAGAGGGCATAAAATGGCAGGAAAAATGCTTTAACTAAAATAAAGTTAATTTAAAAGCATAAATTGCGACGGCCAGATCACGTGATGCATGCAGAGACCACAGGGGAGACCACGTGACAGCTACAGAAGCCCGATTAAAAACCGCGAACCGGTTCTTTCGAATGATTTTATTCAAAGAACCGGTTCAAACAACTGATTCAGTGATTATTTGATCTCAGCAAGCAATTACGTCCTCACATGGTCCCCGACATCCTTGAGTGGCATATTACATGCTCTAAACTTTGAAATAAAGTAATGTACATGAACACATTTGCTGTTTATTATGTTTTTTTCTATTAAGTTTTTTAAATAATGGTATTTCACGTTTCTCTTTTAGTTCCTGCAGCCAAGCTTCAGCTCAAAAAGTCATAAGAGCCTAAATATAATTTGTATTTACATTAAGTTAAATTCATTTACATCATTAAAACTGTTTTTTATATGGGTTGGGGAAAAAATGTAGTTATATCATCGGCATATTTCCAGTAGATTTTTTATTATATTGTAGTAGATATTTTATTATATATATTTGGCTTTGAGTTTATAGTTATGAGTCATATTTGAGGCGGTTCTCAGTTCAGTGAACTGGTGACTCGAGAAACGCGCAGACTCAGTTTCGTGAACCTGTTTTGTTCAACCGATACATTGTAAAGATCCGACTCAAAAGAACGATTCGCTGAGGAATCGGACATCGCCAGAGCGGAAAAGACTAGAGCGGTCAACGTCCATTTCTCTCCCAGATCCCCTTTCTGTCGGCTGTAATGTGGATGTGAACACAGACTGGCAGCAAAGGTGAGTTGGATGCGAGCGCAAAGAGGACTTCAGTACAGCGCATGTGTGATCGGCGATGCTTTCTTATTGTGTGCTTCAGTCACTGCTGGTGGTTAGGAAGGGAAGTTGTGTGTGCTGAAAAATACATCTGTGGCCTGGCGTTCATTGTGCTCCGATTTGCAAGTTAATAAGACGACCTCACAGAAACACACCTTGTTTAGACGCATTTGTTTAGACAGCGGCTGTTCACTAACAACCCTTTTTTTCCATGCAGTTTTATTTTGGTCACAGGCGGAGGATGTGTTTTGCGTCTGATGTGGCGCTCATTTATTTACTGCCTATTTAAATAACAAACACACAGCAGCTACATTCATCTTTATAACTAATAATACGCTGTTGTATGTTGTAGGAATGTAGAAAGCATATGAAATGTATTGTGGCTCTACTATATGATCTGATATATATATATATATATATATATATTTCTTGTTTATATAATGATTTTGAAGAATGACCGTGTATTGTAAATGCGTACATCACCATAGAGTCCAAGACAAGTAGAGCACTAAGTATTTAAGTTTCAGTTATGCTATTTTTAACATGCTATTTATCTTTGTTAATTCTCAGCATTTATTAATTCTAACTGTTAGTTGTAATTTCTAATTACTTAACATATTAATTTTCTATTTAACCAGAGATGTGTGATGAAAACCAGTCCTAAAGCAGGGCAAGGCCAATCAGGTATGTTTCAGATTTATAAAGTAATTTCTACCATTTTATATCACGTATAGATCTTCTGTAACAGATAGTAATACCATGCCACTGAATCATTGATATATTCATATACTATGGTACGTACAAGATTCTAAAAAATAATACAATGGAATTATCATGATATACAGATTCAAAAAACATAAAAACATCACGCTACTCTATCTGGTCCCTTTTTGGTACTTATTGTGAAATGTAAGAGTACTTATTTTTACATTCTTATATTTCAATGCAGACATAAACTATTTTTTGTGAGTGTGTGTGAGACTTACAATTCATTAACCGCTCTAGTTAACTAACAAAGTGCAGTAAGCTGTAAAACTATATGCACTACAATGCAGTATGTTTATCATTGGGATAATACATTAATATAATATGATAACAAATACCACTTTGCAATATCAAGCAGCATAACACCGTTTTTGTACAACTAAAATAACTAGAAGTGACTGACACTGGAAGCCTCACACATTCGAGTCACAAAAGGCTGCACCGCACTTATGTTAAAGAAAAAAGTGAATATTATATGATATTATGTTTGCAAACACAGTTACTATGAGCAGTGAGCTCAATGTGCCGATGGGCTCCCCCACGCTCGGGGGCTCAGACCGGCTGCAGGATGGTGGCGGGATGGACTACAGGGACTGGGTTCGCCGCAGCTATCTGGAGTTGGTCACCTCTAACCACCACTCGGTCCAGGCTCTCTCATGGAGGAAACTCTACCTCAGCAGGGCCAAGCTCAAAGCCTCCAGCCGAACCTCAGCCCTGCTGTCTGGCTTTGCCATGGTGAGTATATGGCACTCTGTGATAAGTGTGAGCTATCAAATGTATGTGACTCTTGTCATGGCCACACTCTTTTGTAGATTGTATTTCAGTGAGTGTATCAGGAAACTGTTGCTAAACTTCAAACAAAGGGTGTGGGCTGTTTTTAAATTCTTAGAAGCATGAGATGGTTTGGAGATAAGTTTGTCTTGAATCATTGTCTGATGGAACTTTGTGTCTAACCACTTTTGGCCAAGATAGAGCATAACAGTGAGCACCCGCTTGACCGGAAGTATTTTTCACATTCGTTTTCTCCATAGGGACTTCAAACATTCTACAGTAAAGAGTTACGAAACCAACCAGTTATGAGATGAATTGTAACATTACAAACCTTGATTTGAAGCAAACAAAAGACTTTAGGTAGTTCAATTATTATAATCCTAGCTATTTTATTATGGGATACAATAGAATCTTTATGTAAGTGATTTATAGTTATTGACTGAAGTATAAAACAATTAATCCTTTTGCCTTTATTGTGACAGGACAGATCAGAATTGACAGGAAGCGAAGTGGGAGAGAGAGAAGGGGGGCGGGATCGGGAAAGGTCCTTGAGTCGGGATTCAAACACGGGACGCCCGTAGCGCAACGGGCGCTGTATGTCGGCGCGCTGCCCACAAGGCTATTGGCACCAACAAACTAATTTATTTTTAGTTTATCCCAAAATATTCAGTCATAAACAAGAGCGTGTAGTCGGCGCCAATAGCCGCTACGAGTTGCACTCGAGTTTAAATCCTGGCTTGTGGACCTTTCCCGATTCCAACCCCCCACTCCCAATTCACTTCCTGTCTACAATGCTGTCCTATAATAAAAGCCAAAAACGCCAAAAAAAAAACAAGAGCGTGTAGGCCAACTGCATCATTTGCAGTGATTCATGGGAGTGGGCAGTAGTTATTGAGCTCAATTTCCATGAGATTTCCAACATCTCTAATTGGTGGATTTTTATTCAGGATTGCAGGAAATTCAGGCTGCATTTATTTGATTTATTCGATCAAAAATAGTGAAAGTATTATTGTGAAATATTACAATTTTAAATAACTTTTCTATTTTTTAAATCAATTTTAAAATGTAATTTATTCCTGTGATGCAAAGCTGAATTTTCACCATCATTACTCTAGTCTTCAGTGTCACAGGATCCTTCTAATATTATGATTTGCTGCTCAAAAAAAATTCTAATGTTGAAATCCATTGTGCTGCTTAATTTTTTATGTATTTATTTTATTATTTTTTAAAACCGTGATACTTTTTTCAGGATTATTTGATGAATAAAAAGGACAAAATAACAGCATTTATTTGAAAATGGAAACCATTTGTAACATTCGATATTTACATATTTTATGTTATTTATATATGATATTACAGCAATATTATTATTATTATTATTTAATATCTTTGAAACAATCTGTAGTACATAATAGAATCAAGTCAAATGACGTCACCTTTATCGCTATAGCGCTTTATACAGTACAGATTCATTGCATACTGCAATATAGTAGGAGTTGTATGGTAGTATGCCATTCTAAACAGCTTCTGTACTGATTTCAGAGTGTATTTAGCAGATTCTGGCAAATATAGTAGGTATTCCATGCATATAGAAAGTTTGCATACTATGTACAGTATACATACTGGATACTGCAGAAATAGTAAGAGTATTGCATTTCGAACAAAGCATCTGTGAACAGCAAAAGGAGGAGTAAGGGGGCCGGCCCACTATTAAACTGGCCAATCAGAGGACGCGTTCTGCCTGTCACTCATTTTGCGTATTGGGTTGATTGACATGCCTTTGGGGGAAAACCCCGACTTTATAGAATTAATTTAAAGAGAGGGCATAAAATGGCAGGAAAAATGCTTTAACTAAAATAAAGTTAATTTAAAAGCATAAATTGCGACGGCCAGATCACGTGATGCATGCAGAGACCACAGGGGAGACCACGTGACAGCTACAGAAGCCCGATTAAAAACCGCGAACCGGTTCTTTCGAATGATTTTATTCAAAGAACCGGTTCAAACAACTGATTCAGTGATTATTTGATCTCAGCACGCAATTACGTCCTCACATGGTCCCCGACATCCTTGAGTGGCATATTACATGCTCTAAACTTTGAAATAAAGTAATGTACATGAACACGTTTGCTGTTTATTATGTTTTTTTTCTATTAAGTTTTTTAAATAATGGTATTTCACGTGTCCCTTTTAGTTCCTGCAGCCAAGCTTCAGCTCAAAAAGTCATAAGAGCCTAAATATAATTTGTATTTACATTAAGTTAAATTCATTTACATCATTAAAACTGTTTTTTATATGGGTTGGGGAAAAAATGTAGTTATATCATCGGCATATTTCCAGTAGATTTTTTATTATATTGTAGTAGATATTTTATTATATATATTTGGCTTTGAGTTTATAGTTATGAGTCATATTTGAGGCGGTTCTCAGTTCAGTGAACTGGTGACTCGAGAAACGCGCAGACTCAGTTTCGTGAACCTGTTTTGTTCAACCGATACATTGTAAAGATCCGACTCAAAAGAACGATTCGCTGAGGAATCGGACATCGCCAGAGCGGAAAAGACTAGAGCGGTCAACGTCCATTTCTCTCCCAGATCCCCTTTCTGTCGGCTGTAATGTGGATGTGAACACAGACTGGCAGCAAAGGTGAGTTGGATGCGAGCGCAAAGAGGACTTCAGTACAGCGCATGTGTGATCGGCGATGCTTTCTTATTGTGTGCTTCAGTCACTGCTGGTGGTTAGGAAGGGAAGTTGTGTGTGCTGAAAAATACATCTGTGGCCTGGCGTTCATTGTGCTCCGATTTGCAAGTTAATAAGACGACCTCACAGAAACACACCTTGTTTAGACGCATTTGTTTAGACAGCGGCTGTTCACTAACAACCCTTTTTTTCCATGCAGTTTTATTTTGGTCACAGGCGGAGGATGTGTTTTGCGTCTGATGTGGCGCTCATTTATTTACTGCCTATTTAAATAACAAACACACAGCAGCTACATTCATCTTTATAACTAATAATACGCTGTTGTATGTTGTAGGAATGTAGAAAGCATATGAAATGTATTGTGGCTCTACTATATGATCTGATATATATATATATATATATATATATTTCTTGTTTATATAATGATTTTGAAGAATGACCGTGTATTGTAAATGCGTACATCACCATAGAGTCCAAGACAAGTAGAGCACTAAGTATTTAAGTTTCAGTTATGCTATTTTTAACATGCTATTTATCTTTGTTAATTCTCAGCATTTATTAATTCTAACTGTTAGTTGTAATTTCTAATTACTTAACATATTAATTTTCTATTTAACCAGAGATGTGTGATGAAAACCAGTCCTAAAGCAGGGCAAGGCCAATCAGGTATGTTTCAGATTTATAAAGTAATTTCTACCATTTTATATCACGTATAGATCTTCTGTAACAGATAGTAATACCATGCCACTGAATCATTGATATATTCATATACTATGGTACGTACAAGATTCTAAAAAATAATACAATGGAATTATCATGATATACAGATCCAAAAAACATAAAAACATCACGCTACTCTATCTGGTCCCTTTTTGGTACTTATTGTGAAATGTAAGAGTACTTATTTTTACATTCTTATATTTCAATGCAGACATAAACTATTTTTTGTGAGTGTGTGTGAGACTTACAATTCATTAACCGCTCTAGTTAACTAACAAAGTGCAGTAAGCTGTAAAACTATATGCACTACAATGCAGTATGTTTATCATTGGGATAATACATTAATATAATATGATAACAAATACCACTTTGCAATATCAAGCAGCATAACACCGTTTTTGTACAACTAAAATAACTAGAAGTGACTGACACTGGAAGCCTCACACATTCGAGTCACAAAAGGCTGCACCGCACTTATGTTAAAGAAAAAAGTGAATATTATATGATATTATGTTTGCAAACACAGTTACTATGAGCAGTGAGCTCAATGTGCCGATGGGCTCCCCCACGCTCGGGGGCTCAGACCGGCTGCAGGATGGTGGCGGGATGGACTACAGGGACTGGGTTCGCCGCAGCTATCTGGAGTTGGTCACCTCTAACCACCACTCGGTCCAGGCTCTCTCATGGAGGAAACTCTACCTCAGCAGGGCCAAGCTCAAAGCCTCCAGCCGAACCTCAGCCCTGCTGTCTGGCTTTGCCATGGTGAGTATATTACATTCTGTGATAAGTGTGAGCTGACAAATGTATGTGACTCTTGGCCACACACTTTTGTGGATTATATTTCAGTGAATGTATCAGGAAACAGTTGCTATAGGTCAAACAAAGGGTGTGGCTTGTTGAAATTCTTAGTAGCATCAGATGGCTTGGAGATAAGATTGTCTTGAATCATTGTCCGGTGCAACTTTGTATTGCTAACCACTTTTGGCCGAGATAACAGTGACCACCCACTTGACTTGACCGGAAGTATTTTTCACATTCATGTTCTCCGTAGGGATTTCAAACATTCTTCAGTAAAGGGTTATGAAAGCAACCCACTCTGAGATGAGTCGTAACATAACAAACTTTGATTTGAAGCAAACAAAAGACTGGAGCTAATTGAATTATAATAATTTTATCACTTTTATTATAGGACTCAACAGAATCAGTATAAGTGATTTATGGTTATATACTGAAGTATAAAACCATTTATTTTTAGTTTATCGCACATTATTCAGACATAAACAAGAGTGTAGGCCGACACTGCATTGTTTGCAGTGATTCATGGGAGTGGGCAGTAGCTGTTGAGTTCAATTTCCATTGTAACAACAACATCTCTAATTGGTGGATTTTTATTGGGGGTTATGGGTAGTGTAGTAGTTTTTGTTGGGAATGGTGCAAATAAACGATTTATTTATTTATTTTAAAAATGACACTGACTTTTTAAAAATGTTTTTGAAGTCTCTTATGTTCACCAAGTCTGCATTTATTTGATTTATTTGATTAGACATAGTGAAAGTAATATTGTGAAATAAAATGTAATTTATTCCTGATGTCAAAGCTGAATTTTCAGCATCATTACTCCAGTCTTCAGTGTCACATGATCCTTCAGAAATCATTCTAATATGCTGATTGGCTCAAAAAGCATTTCCTATTATTATGAATTTTGAAAACTGAAGTGCTGCTTCATTTTTTTGGAAACCATGATACTTTTTTTCAGGATTCTTTGATGAATAGAACGTTTAAAAGAACAACTTTTATTTTTGTTATTATATATTTGAAAATAGAAACCTTTTGTAACAGTTTTTACTTTCACTTTTGATCAGTTTAATCAATCCTTGCTGAATAAAATTGTTTATTTAAAAAAAAATGTGTTTATGAAAAAAATGTAAGTATTTATCATCCTTCCAACAACTTCAGAGCTCAAGGTAGATCTACCTTTTTACATTGTCATAAAACATTTTTATTGTGTTTATGAAAAAAATGTAAATATTTATCATCCTTCAACAACTTCAGAGCTCAAGGTAGATCTACCTTTTTACATTGTCATAAAACATTTTTATTTCTCTGTGGACAAAATGAATGGGATTTTTACTTCAGGAACCCCACTGTTAGTTTACCCCATTTGGTTCACATGAAATATTACCAGTTAAATTCATTATTGTTTATAATGTGGTTGTGACCAGGTGGCCATGGTGGAGGTGCAGCTGGAGATGCAGTATAACTACCCACGGTTCCTGCTCATTGCCTTTAGCGTATGTACTACAGTGCTGGTGGCCGTCCACCTGTTCGCCCTCCTCATCAGCACCTGCATCCTGCCCAATGTGGAAGCCGTCAGCAACATCCACAATCTCAACTCTGTCTCTGAGTCTCCCCACGAGAGGATGCACCTCTATATTGAGCTGGCCTGGGGCTTTTCCACCGCTCTGGGGATCCTTTTGTTCCTGGCAGAGGTGGTGCTCCTCTGCTGGATAAAGTTCTTGCCGGTTGACTCTGGGGCGCAATCCGCGTCAGCCCTCAAGCAGAACAGCAGCTCGTCTACGGTTCAGCCCGGCCACAGCGGCTGGCAGGCGGCCTTGGCCTCCACCATCATCATGGTGCCGGTCGGATTGATCTTTGTGGTGTTCACCATTCACTTCTACCGCTCGCTAGTGCGACACAAAACAGAGCGGCACCATCAGGAGATCGAGGAACTGCACAAAATCAAGGTGCAGCTGGACGGCCATGAGCGAGGCCTGCAGGCGGTGTGAGATCCAGGGATACTCTTCAAGCTTTCAAGCACATTAAAACTCCTTCTTGAGTCTTTTGGGCTTATTTTCTGTTTTATTCTGAGAGGAAATGCCTTGTTTCCTGGTGGAAGGATTACTCTTATAGAAATTGAGGAGGCTTTACAGCAAAAAAGGCGCACGTTTACAAAATTTCAACCGCAAGGGCTATTTATTTTGTATTTCTTTAGGCTGTAGGTCATTTGGATGTGTTTTTAAGTGCAATTTTCTCTTTCCATGTTTCTAAATACACAAAAATGGATGTCATGGAGTGGCTTGCTTTAATATCATTTGCTGGTTTCTCTTCCTTTTGCGGTGCCATCCTGGATCGATAAGTGTGCCACAGATAATGAGACCAAATGAGTTGGTCTTGGATCCATTATGAATCAGAGCTGCCAGAGTATCTTTAACTGCAATTTCCAGCTCTTATAATATACGTGTCTGTTTGAGCTTCAGTTTAAAGTGATAGTTCACCCAAAAATTGAATATTATATTATCATTTACTCACCCTCATGTCGTTCCAGACCTGCAAGACTTGCTTTCTTCAGCACAAAAGAAGATATTTTGAATTGCTTTTGTCCATACAGTGAGCGCCAGTGGTGTTCAAAACAGCAATGGACTTTGTTGATTTTCACTGTATGGGCACATCAGTCACTGTTTAGCAGAAGTAAGAAAGTGATAACGGTTCAAGTGAGGGTGAGTACATGAAGACTGAATGTTCATTTCCCTTTAAGTAAACAAAAACAAAAAAAAACTGCGATGCACCACATATACAGTAGTTTGTCTGTGTTTAATAGTGAATCTATACTACTGTAATCTCTCAGCCTGCAGAATTGTCGTCCCAAAAAAGGATTCATTTTAAAGCAGTTACAGACGTATCGCTCGTACTAGGCCTATATGTAGTGCAGTATTTTTAGCTTGGGTGTGAAATCTAGACGCTTTAGCCAGACTCACTGCGCGCTTGTATTTCATTGAAGGTTTTGCATGTGTAATTTAATGCACTGTCACTTGTTTTTGTCCATTTTTCAGACAAGGCCTATTGAATGTTATTCTTGTGGGCTACTAGAAGTTTACATTGTCATGTCAATAAAGTCAATGATGATTTGCGCCAACAAATTACTTTTAATGGGCACAGTTAGTTATAAAAATACTTGAGAAAGACAAAATGCTTTGCTGAGCTGAAATTGTTTAATGTGAACTGAGTTGGCAGTCATATCGTCACGCTCAAAATACCGTCTGGTATTTATGTAACAAGTCAATTTGAGGAAAACATTCCAGGGGGAAAAGAAGTCAGACCAATTTCTGCCTGCCTTAAAAAAACTAAACTGACAAAAGTGCACTTGTAGTATTAGGTCATGGAAATGATGTGTCCGGTTTGTTTTTAGAGTATGCAGACAGATTTCATCTGCTGTAGGTCTTTCAGAACGCAGAGTTATAGTTTGTTGCTTCATTTCATGCCTTAAGCATTAATTTAATTCAATAGTAAGTTCATGAGTTGACTCTGTAATAAGGCATAGTGAAGCACCACTCTTTATACAGTTGCACTTGCAGTGTGAATGCTCAAACACAAACACACTTGACCAAAGTTGTGTACTCTGCTTATGGGGGCTTTAAAAAGCACTATGCTTTTTGTGTGTGTGGGAAAATACTTCTAGTATCATTTTTGATACTTCTGTTGCATTGTGCCATACTGTCAATATATAAACGCATATCTAGTGTGAAACGTGTCCAGAACATGTAGCCGACTATTATCAAAACATTTTGTTGAGCAAGTCCTTTCACACTCTTATCTGTACTTGTATGTTAGTTTATGTCAAATAAACACAACCTGTTTTGTTTCTTACTAAAACTTTACCATTTCTGTGTCCAATGAAAATTTGACATGCCTCGGTGAACTGTTCAAGAAAAGACTGCTGCTTTCCTTGTGACTTTCATATTGTCTTGTTACAATGAACGAAGTTCTCAATCAGCAGATGACCTAAGAGGGTGAAAATGCCTGGGTTATATAACTCAAATCTAATTTCCATTACGATATCTTATTAAAATTGCTAAGTATTTATACATCAATGTAGTATTTTGTTGTACTGTCCTTAATGTTTAAAAAAAAAATTTATACCGTATTACAGTACGAAAAATGTAAATTATAATAATCATTTGATAAATGTGCTTAATTCCCTTAATGTTACAATGGTACAGAAATTGGATTCATTTTCTTTTCATGCAAAATATAATGCCTTTTATTTTAGTTTTGGGGTGAAATATGTATAGCCTGAATGCACTGTAAGTCGCTTTGGATAAAAGCGTCTGCTAAATGCATAAATTATAAATTATTAAAATTAAATAAATATGGCTGGACAAGTTTGTGTGAGATTCATATCAGTGCATAAGACTGATCCTGGTCAGTATCTGTTGTTCCTGGGAAGCATGTGAATGGTCAGGTTTCACAGCTGTGACTGGCAGGCACACATGAACTGAGGCTGCAGTCGATAAGGCGACAGGCTGGCTGAGAATGGCATTGTAAATTAGATTAAAGCAATATGTGTCTAGTTATAATGCATAAAACACTAAATGCCTAATATACCTTCTTCAAAAAGAAAGGGGTCATATGACGTTGCTAAAAAGAACATTATTTTGTGTATTTGGTGTAATGAAATGTGTTTATGCGGTTTAAGGTTCAAAAAACACATTATTTTCCACATACTGTACATTATTGTTTCTCCTCTATGCCCCGCCTTTCTAAAACGCGTCGATTTTTACAAAGCTCATCAGTCTGAAAAGCGGAATATTTGGGTTGAACTGTTCTGGAACAGTGTTGTAAATACAACTTAACCACTGATTTGTAGTCGTGTCCATTTTTGGAAGGCCAAACAAAGTAGTTTCGCTTTCACAATGAAACAGCGTTACACACAGTGGCCTAGAGTGAGGAACGGCCGGAGGGCTAGAGTGAGTAGAGGCGGCGGGCTTGAGAACGGCGCGGCTGGCGGATTCGACGAAGGAGCGGCCGGCAGGCTTGCGGCAACCACATGTGACGACCCCGGGCTGGACTCCGCTTCGTCGCATCACAACTTTTAATGGTGAAAGGTATTCTAGAAATATATGTATTTGGAATAGCATATTGCTGCATTACATTGTATGTTGTATACTGTGCATTGTTTACAAATTTTCTATATGCAACAAGATAATTCTCATTGCCAAATGTTTCCCACAATGAGACATTCTTAGCTTCTTCAAAGTAACGAATGCACTAGTATACCTACCACAGAATCTTTTTTGACTCATTTAATTAATTCAGGTGAAGCTGTTGCACCACAGGCTAATGATGATGAAGTGTGAACAGGTGTGCAGAAGAGGCCTCTAGACAAACTATATAAAGGTTGAAAGGCAAAGGGAGTTTAGTTACCTAATTAGTAAATGACTTGCCAAACAGTGGTTTTGCATGAAGATAGTAATAAAAACCAGCGTCAGGCAGGGTTCCAGGATGTCTGGAGTGTTAGAACAACTTCAGATGCACATTATGCATAACCGAGCAAGTATTTATTGATTTGTGGCTATTTTTTGTTTTGAAACAAGCATGTGTTTGAGGGAAGGATTTATTTTAAGTTAGGATTTATAAAGTTAGGATTTATAAATAAACCAAGCAAAGGCTACTTCAGTCTTTGGAAACTAACCAGATTATGACATCTTTGTCAACTGGATGTAGTGAAAAGATTGATTTGAGATGTTCCTTGATGGCAGGTCCTACTACCACATTCAGGTTTTGGTTAAAGAGTTTTTCAGTTATTCAAACTTTAGTAGATGTTTTAATGATAAGTGATTCTGCTTAATTGTTGAAAATGACCATGCAAAGATTCCTGCAGCGATGATGATTGAAAGAACATAACTGACTTGGTATTGCTGCCCTTTGGCATCATTGACCAAGATCTGATTGACCAAGTTTAATCTTCTCTCTGAGCTGCAAGCATCTCATGTTTGATGAGTTTGAGCAGAGACCCAGTTTGCATTACTGCTACTACAAAGGTAGGAACCAAGGATTGTTTGCAACTCTGAACTTTAATGTCCTGATTGTCTTAACAAGTGGCACATTCTATAATAAATGTATTTCAGTAAGTTTTCAGGGAGTGGTAACACAGGGTCTCATGGGTCTGGGGAAATTCCTTGGCCCTATATTTAGACTAAGAATATCAATCTACCAGTTCTGTGAACACGCTGGTTTAAACACTCTTGTAGACTCAACACAGAGTGCTTAATGTCCTGGGCCCCTGAGCACAACACTGTTGCCACTTTACTTTTAGAAACAACTGAAAACAGTGTAAATGATGACCGAGTTTAAATTAAATTCACAAAGCGTAAATTCTATCGACAAGGGGAGGGGGGAGTAAAATCTGCACATTTTTCATAGCACGAGAGCCCAAAAGTTCTAGAAGTCTTTAAAAATATTCATAGAGAAAACAAGACTGACCCATCATGAGTTCTGAAGCTACACAGACTTGATATTTGCTTCAAAACAACATATGTGATTGATCTTGGAGCTTATTTTAATTTGGTTCAGCTCACTGATCACTGTTGTGCTCTACTGAATATGCTTGACCTCATACCTGCATGGGATGTCCGAACCCCATTATCTGCTTAATTCAAATACACCTGAATCAGCTATTTGAGCTTTTTGGCTTCCCTTGAAAATTATGAGGGTATATAGAACACTACAGTGATGATGTATTTTTGTAGGCCAACCAAGCGGCAACCTTCCGGTCTCTCTCGTGAAACCAACACGGAAGTGACTAAAACTGCAATTCATCTACTGGCCGCTAGAGGCTGGCTCCAAAAGGGAGTCAGTCCCATAAACTCCCCATGTTAAAATGCCCAACTTCACAGCAGAAAAAAAATGTTTACAGCCTGGTAGACAACCAGCTCCTGCCTCTTTACCCATTTTTTCGATTATCCGGAAGTGACGCGCTGCCAAGATGGTGACGGCCGGCTCCGCCCACTTTGAGCTTCAAAAACGCTCTTCAGAAACCTACGGGTGACGTCACGGACACTACAGGTGCATCTCAATAAATTAGAATGTCGTGGAAAAGTTCATTTATTTCAGTAGATTGTGTAGCCTAGTGAGCCAAACTGAGAGACCATTTTGAAGGCTCAGGAAACTTTTGCAGGTGTTTTGAGTTGATTAGCTGATTGGCATGTCACCATGTTCTAATTTGTTGAGATAGTGAATTGGTGGGTTTTTGTTAAATGTGAGCCAAAATCATCACAATTAAAAGAACCAAAGACTTAAACTACTTCAGTCTGTGTGCATTGAATTTATTTAATACACGAGTTTCACAATTTGAGTTGAATTACTGAAATAAATGAACTTTTCCACGACATTCTAATTTATTGAGATGCACCTGTATGTCCATGTTTTTATACAGTCTATGAGGCCAACCCAGAAGTTAGCATTACTCTGGTTCCCTTGACAAAAACCTAACAGGGTTTTTTTCCATTGTCTTATGGTTTATTGCAGAAAAGCAGCTCTCTCATCACAATCTTCGCAAATGAACGCTTTTATTTATTTAATTTTGAAGCCTAAACAATCACCAGAGGTAAAAATCTTAATGTAGGCTATAAACAAACTACACCACAGTCACATGATGTCAACATCACAATAACTAATGCTGCATTCACGCCATGTCGTAATTACTGTAATTTCGAGATGACGACATGTGACGCTCTACTTGGAGTTGTTCACACCCTTGGACTCAGAACTATCACACTATCAATGCCTAAACATTGCGCCTTATGAATCTGAGGTGGTCAGGTGGTACAAGTTATAGCTCTCAGAAAATTCCCAGTTCACAAGTTGTAATTACGAGTTCTACGAGGAGGATATGAACACTGTTTACAATTTGCTATCTCGTAATCGGAAATTATGATAAGGTGTGAACGCACCATAAGCTTCCGACAACTCTTTCAGTCTTTATTTGATGTAGATTTTCCTTGGAAGTTTGAGTTAGACAAGAGTGCAATTATAAAGCAAATTATATGAGCAAAGAAAGCAAGCCCTTCCCTCAGCTGATCCAGAGCTTCGGTCCTGATGCTTCACTAACATCTACTGCTGCTCTGAATCACAACATCAGAATCAATCAGATTACTGCACAAATCACTTGTACTGGAGACAAATATGTATTTTTTGCAGCACATGCACCATTTAATGCCATGACTTTATGGATTTAAGACTTTCTGCATCAACTTAAGAGTTTAATTTGTGGCAGGGCGAATTACAACCTTTTTTGGCCCGCAGAAACCCTGTTCTGGTGAGAATGACAGGCTTCTCTAGCAGTGGTGTGCGGTGGTGTTCTGAAATGAGGAGGCAAAGTCCTTTTTTTAAAATTTTTTTTTATCAAATGTAAATTCCTGTCCCAGTCACATGTTCTTGGTTAAATAAACATTACTTACACTACCAGAGGGGAAAAAATCTATTTTATATTTTTACATTAACAATGTAATCAATATTCTGTTTATTTAAGCCAAGTATGAATCTCATCAAGTTAGTGTTTTTAAGCATTTTACATTTATTCCAAAATAATAACTCAAGGCAGTAACAATTTAAACAAAATATTTAGATTTTCGTGCGCTCGAAATACTTTTTCTTTGCGAAACGAACATTTTCTCCACAAAACTCAGATCGTGCGTGTGCAAAATGCACTTTTGTGCTCTCAAAATATGATCTTTCACGCACAGAATTGTGGCAGAGATCTATGCCTATAGATTTACTTTAAATTTCACCAAGCTGATTACTCAATAAAAACTCCCACAGATCATGTTTTCAGGCCATTTAAGTCTTATTTTGATGTAACAAAGTGATTTTATATAAGTGTGTGTTGTTTACTTTTTTTTTTTTTAATGAGTCTTCCCATTAATGCCATTATATTGTTCATTCAGACTGATTCGCGAACGCGGAACGCACATGAACACAAGAGGCGGGATTTATCGCATGAACCCATCACAGCCGAACATAACCAGTCATACCCAATCATATCACGATGGAGGCATTGCCTCCTCTCGCGTGATTTTCCCCCATTCATTCTCAATTACCCCCCACCAAACTCACCGCACGCTTTAGGTGGTCTGTTAAAACTCAATGGGCTCAGGGGAGGCGAGAGAAACTCGGACTCCTGCTGCAATTTTACCTGCTGGTGTCGTGGTTGGACAAAGTTTCTTTTAGAAAAACGAGTGATTTATAATTTTTTTTTATGTTATATTTTGTAATATTGGCGTTGTTTTATTTTTGTACTACAAATTTTTTGGGGAGACAATTTTGAGGAGACACTACCTCCCTTGCCTACTCGGAGGAAACGCCCCTGTTCTCTAGTGACTCTTGAATAAGAGTCGGCAATGATGATATCTGTACAAATGTAATATTTACACATTTCATAAAATAATAGTCCATTATTATATATCATTTAATTACACTAATTTATTAACTTAAAAGCTTTTTAACATTCCTTAGAATAACAATTAACACTAAACCTGTTGTTCACCTGAACAATGTGCAATAATTATGTAAAATCAGACAGATCCACATTAATAATGCATCTTGGAAACCAAATTAAACAGATTTGACCTGTCTATCCATCAGGTGTGTATATTTTAATGAGGTGCTGCAGTCCTGAAGGGTAGCCAGTGAGGGGACACCTGTGATTGGCTTTAACGTACACATATATACACTTATAACAAAACACATAGCCTGAAGTGGCAAGCGCAGTGTCATTGCTGCGCACTTTCCTGCAGAGCGGGCAGACTTTGATGTGTGTGTTTGAAGTCTCCTGGCTGTGCAGGTGGAGAGGCGGCGGAGGGGTTGGGAGGGAGGTCAAGGATTTAACGGTGCTCTGGTTCTCGGATGAATACCACCACTCCAGGAACTGCAGGAAAAACACTCCAATCGAGAGGCTGGTTGAAAGAGACACAGCCAAACCACCAACTGCCGTAGAGACCAGACGCTGAAATTTCTCTCCAAAGCTGAAAACACAAGAGATTTTTGCTTTAATTAAACATCTTTATATTTTGGTAAACCTCAAGAAAATAATTTAGTATAGACTCTAAATAACCCACCTTTGACTGGGGCTCAGTGCCGGGCCTGATGGCTTGAGATCTTGGCTGTGTATGTCATTAGCTGTGAGATATGAGAGTTTAACCCCTGCCAGCCACAGAAGCGGAGAATGTGTCTGTGTTTTGCCGAAAACATACAAAAGCTGATGGCAAAAGACCCAGCCATCCCAGGCCATGCACACAAAGGGGTACGCAGCCAAAAAAGCCCTGTACAACTTCTGCATGACGGACTGCGGCAAGCGGATGGAGAAATCGTCCTCATCTCTCTGTCGAGCCAGGACTTTTTCCAGTTTGGTGTGTAGGTAAGGAAGGAGGGCCAGTAGGAACAAAGAGTGCCAGTGCTGTCTGCGCCGGAGTCCCAGATGAGCTGCACGTGTGCTGTCTTCTCCTACACGCTTCAGACCGTAGAAATTCTCCGAAAATGAGGCGCTGGTGTGGGAAAGGAAATGATGCTGCAATAACACGTCCAGGATAGCATAAATCTCATCAAACCTCTGCCAAAGAAATCCATAGCGAGCGGGATTCGACGTAGCAAGGATCTGTGGACAAAGGCAGGGTCTACACATCAGGAGTATTCAATGCCAGTAAATACTGTAAAGTTTATTTTATTACTATTTTTATAACTATTTTTTAAATATATAAAACAATAGAAGTATGTTTGCAGGCTAGGGGGTCCATGGAACAGTTTAGAGAAAAAAAGAAATGTAAAAATAAATAATAAAAATAAGATTCAAATAATTACAAATTATTAAAAAAAAAAAACTAGATGAAGTAAATAAATACATAATGTACAACAGTACAGGACTACATTAAGTAGAAAAATTATGTAAAATGTAATTTAATATAAACTAAATATTTTCCAAAATATATTTTAGACATATCTATAATATGAATTTTTCACAAATTAAAATACATAATGTACAACAGTACAGGACTACATTAAGTAGAAAAATTATGTAAAATGTAATTGAATATAAACTAAATATTTTCCCAAATATATTTTAGACATATCTATAATATGAATTTTTCACAAATTAAATTGTATCTTTATACAAGAAACTCTACAGATGTCTTTTACGTTTTATCATGTGGATCCGTCACATGACGAAGATCATATTTGTGGGTCTGTGGCATCAAAAAGTTTGAAATCCAAGGTCTATGCTTACAAATTTGTTTATTTTGTGTTTTTGAATACAGTTTTGAGTAAATAGCTTCAGGCAGTCCAATTCAGCCTGGTTTATTCTTCACACTGGTGATGAAAGGTCAAGTTGAACTCACTACATTGTGTAATTGTGCAAATACTGTGGGTCCTAAGTTATTCCATGCATATGAGCCGAATTTGGCCACAGAACACCTGCTTACAGTGCACTGCTAGTATTGTATTAAGCACACAGCCCAAGTTCTTGGGCTTCACTTCATTACAGCACGAGGCAAAGACATGTTTAGAGGCAAGATTAATCTTATACCATAATGTCATCTATTGTACATTGGTAGCAAATGCAGTAAATGCGTAAGCATACCTTCACAGCATGAAGTAATGCAGGTTTAACAGCACTCATCAAAGAGTCCTGAGCTAAAATCTCGAATATGGACGGTCTGTCTTCAGCTGGAGCTGCTGTTGTTAAATGAGCTCCTCGCTCTGCCATGACTCTCATACACTGGGATCAATGCAGATGTGAGCAAGGCGAACTTGACAATTCAGACATCAACAAAGCGTTCTAAAAAAATTATAGAATTTTGCTAAGAATGCTAAGAGTCTTTTAATAATAATATTTTCATAATTTTATTAAGACAATTTTGGCAGAAAATTACACTGCACAAAAAAACAAAACAATGCAAGATTCAAGGGTCACACAACTCACAACCTGTCGCAATGCTTTTCTGGCGTTATTCTTCTGTGTGCTCATTGGCAACAAAATAGGTTCATACTGCCATCTACTGTACTGGGGTAGTCTACAGTATAAAATATTCTATTCTGTTCTGTTCTATTGACCACTGTTTCTAATGGACGGACTCTAAAGATGTCAAAAAAACTACTTTTCACAATAAAAATTAAAAGCAACAACGTCAGACAGTAATGTCAAACTTCAAAATCAATTTATGTGCATTTCATGCATTTTTATTTTTTACAGATAAAAGTATAGTAGAGTTAATATTAATAATGTTGCTGGGAAATACTGGAATAGAATATGGGCTCTTTGAGCTATAATTTATATATGACTAAAGCTATAATATACATGCATACACACACACACACACACACATAGATATATATATATGACTTGTTTTCATATTTATTTCATATATTTTGGTCCATAAACTCTTATTCTTGCAATGTTAATGCTCTTTTTTATGTTTATATTAGATGAAATAATAAATGCAATTAAAAAGGTTTTGATTTTTTTCAGCATTTAATTAATTGTATCAGACAAATCTTGTATTTATGCTTTAAAATTTCTTTTTATATCTTGTTTTATACAAAATGTTCTTTGATACGCTTATATCCATATATACTATTTTATAAATGTAAAAATGTTTGTGCGTGATTCAAAGTATGGTTTAGTCTCAAATTCACTTGGTTGAGAGTGACAAAAATTACATCATTGCTTGATTGCAATGGTACAAGTGCACATTGACTAAATGCCATTTCATGAGGCATGACAGAAAGTTGTGGAAATAAGTTATCATACGCAAATGTATTTATACACTCCTAAAAGACGTATGGGCGTAAACTATGGACATATTTACACATTTTGGTGTTTCTGCCATAGAAGTGAGATTGATAGACCTATACAGTGCACTTTGTGTTGATGTCCTTTTAATAGCCTATAGTAATACAGCTGTCCCGATTTACAAACAGGCAGCACCAAAGACCCCAATATACTCACTGCTAAGTTCTTTGTTTTTTTGTCCAGGGATAAAAAGAAACAGCTGCACACACTGTGATGCTACCAGTGCTACTGGGATTGGGGTTTGGATGAGTATGTAAATATGTGCTGCATGTTAATCTCTCAACAAACACACAACAGAAATGACAAAAGGGCAGTTAAGCATCTGATCATAGCAACAGAAGTTGGAGAAGTTGGTGGGCATGTGCTGTACATTGGATGAAACCCAATCCAAAGTGCACCTCACTAAAATGAAGTTGTTTATTCTTGATGCAAATAGAATTAACAAACAATACAAATGGACAAAAAGTTAAGATAAAAAGAGTTTAATCAATGAGTAATTAAAACGAATACAAAAAAAAAGAGAAAAACAAGTAAAAGTAAAAACGAATGAAAAAGATCTCTATCTTTTATAGACTTAAAAGATAACCAAAACATCTCAAGACAAGAAGAGAAGAGAAGCGGTCACCAGTTGCAAAGTTACTTGATAGTAGCTATACCTTGCATTGGAAAATGGTAAATATATCATAAGTGGCAGAATAGCTACATGTTCCAAGTATGACAAACAAGTTAAAAAATACATATGCTAGCACTATAACATTTTGTAAACTACTTTTTTCTTTCATAAAAGAGAATAAATGAACTAAGAGTCATGCATGAGAAAATTATATGTGAAACTTAAGAATAAAACTTCTTTTGGGAGGAACTCCATCTTTGAGGTTATATGAAGCTCACACTTGAAACTGGTGAGCATGAAGATGAACATGGTTCACTGTGAATGATGTTGATCCTCATCCTTACACAAACTGTGGCTGGTTAGGACAGATTTATACAGAAGAGAGCTTAAATCTATTGCATAGATTTTTTTTTTTTTTGTATGACTGCGTAGAGAAGCTAATTGATTAAAACTCTTCTCACTTGTTGGGCAGTGTTTACGGCTTCGCTCCAGTATGGATCCTCTCATGCGTTTTCATGTTTCCTAACAGAGAGAATCTCTTGTCACAGTGCGAACACTTGTAAGGTTTCTCCCCAGTGTGAACCATCTGGTGCTGTTTCAGTTCAGAATTTGTAAAAAAGGACTTCCCACACTCAAAGCACATAAAAGACTTTACAGAGCTGTGTCTTTTCTGGTGCAGTTTAAAAACACTCAGCAGACTAAAACTCTTTTCACACAAAAGACACGAATAATTTCTGACTTTAGCATGAACTTTCTGGTGGCTCTTCAGGGCTGATTTCAGAATAAAACCTTTGCCGCACTGATGACAGTAAAACGGTTTGTTTTCAGAGTGGGTATGTAGATGTATTTTTAGAGTGGAACTATGTGTGAAACTCATACCACATTCATCACACGTGTGTGGCTTTTCTCCAGTGTGGATTTTCATGTGTACGGTAAGGTGTGATCTTTGTGTGAAACTCGTCCCGCATTGATCACATGTGTGCGGCTTCTCTCCGGTGTGAATTTTCATGTGTTCTTTTAGGGATCGTTTGAGTGCAAAACTCTTCCCGCACTGATCACATGCGTGTGGCTTCTCTCCAGTGTGGATAGTCATGTGTACCGTAAGGCCTATTTTGCTTGAAAAACCCTTCCCACACTGATCACATGTGTGCGGCTTTTCTTCAGTGTGAACCAACATGTGGCTTTTAACGGACTGCTTTAGTGCGAAACTCTTCCCGCACTGATCACAAGTATACGGCTTCTCTCCAGTGTGGATGATCATGTGTCTTTGAAGGTGTTCTTTGCGCGTGAAACCCTTCCCGCATTTATCACATGTGTGCAGCCTGTATTCAGTGTGGATCGTCATGTGTTGCCTAAGTTGTAATTTGCATCTGAATCTCTCCCCACACTGATCACATGCATGCAGCTTCACTCCTTTGTGGATTTTCATGTGTGATAAAAGGCTTCTTTTGACGTTAAAACTCTTCCCACATTGATCACATGTGTACGACGTCTCTCCAGTGTGGATTTTCATGTGTCTCAGAGCGCTGTCTTTTCGTGGGAAACTCTTCCCACACTTATCACATGTGTACGGCTTCTCTCCAGTGTGGATTTTCATGTGCTCCTTAAGGTGTGCTTTTTGTGAAAAACTCTTCCCGCACAGATCACATGTGTGCGGCTTCTCTCCAGTGTGGGTTTTCATGTGTTTCTTAAGGTCTTCTTTGCACGTGAAACTCTTCTCACACTGATCACATGTGTGCGGCTTCTCTCCAGTGTGGGTTTTCATGTGTTTCTTAAGGTCTTCTTTGCACGTGAAACTCTTCCCGCACTGATCACATGTGTGCGGCTTCTCTCCAGTGTGGATTTTCATGTGTTTCTTAAGGTCTTCTTTGCACGTGAAACTCTTCCCGCACTGATCACATGTGTGCGGCTTCTCTCCAGTGTGGATTTTCATGTGTTTCTTAAGGTCTTCTTTGCACGTGAAACTCTTCCCGCACTGATCACATGTGTGCGGCTTCTCTCCAGTGTGGATTTTCATGTGTTTCTTAAGGTCTTCTTTGCACGTGAAACTCTTCCCGCACTGATCACATGTGTGCGGCTTCTCTCCAGTGAACATTCTTTTGAAGGCCCTTTCACAAAAAAAAAAAAAAAGGGAGAGAAGTTGCAGAAAGATAAAAAAAAAATTTGACTTCACTTTCTGATTTATAGGATACGGATTAAAAAAAATTTTTTATTAATTTTTAACTGAGAAATATGGCAATTTCTCCACATTTTCTACCTAGAGTTTAAAAAAGGAAGGAGAAGAAAGAAAAACACTATTTTATGCCAGTTTTCATCTTGATTTTTAGTTGTTTTATCTTACTTTAAAGCCCCTGGGGCCCCTGGTTGAGAACCACTGCCCTAGAGCGATTCTCCAAGGTTAGAAAACACACAGCCAATACAATTGGCTGAACTGTCCTGAAATATATCTTTTTAACATTATTTGACCATATGAAACACCATTTATGAGACAGCAGCTCATAACTTATTTTATAGCTGATTTGAAATATGTTATTGAAATGTGAGTTTGGCAAGCAGTTTTTTATAATTGTTATTTCCCCATTCAAACAGATACAAGTTGGTCTTGCATGACTGAAATAGCTTTATGCAAACAACTCGCACTGATGTACTTCAACACATTCATGAAATGCAAATGTTTTATTTAAAGTCATTTTTGGGTTTCTGCTCATATGTGTGGAGTACAAAGGCAATGGCAACTTCAAGTCTTTAATGCTGAATTCAGTGCACTAACACCACCAGAAACTGCAGCAGTGCTGGACATATGACACAAAAATGATAACTTACTGGAGTGGACACACTGTCTGAATAAAAACAGGGTCGCTTCAAGAAAATACTTGTGCCTGGTATGAATGGCTTTATAGGAATGAATACACTGGTTCAGTTCGTGTTTTGTGTTTCTGAGGCTCCCTAGTGGGCCCCCGGTTGAGAACCACTGCCCTAGAGTGATTCTCCATGGTTAGAGAAAACACACACACACAATGAGAGATTGTGAAAATTCTGGGACAGATTACAGCTGCCTTGTAATGTCTCGAATTCTTTTCTACATTACTTTTAGTATAAGAATGAGTAAATGTTAAACTGAACATTCTTTTGAAGCAATTTAATTACTGGCAGAGAGACGAGGACGCATTTTAATGGATGTTAATGGAAG